GCACTGGGGTGGAGCGGTCAGGGGTGAGGAGATCCTGTTCAGGGCAAGACCCCAGCCCTGCCCCACCAAGTCTGTCCCTCTGGCTTTGTTTCCCTCCCCCTCCCCACTGGCTCTAGTAGCTTCCATGTTCCTCAATATGGTGCGTAAGACCCAGGTCTTAGCTCTGGGCAGCGTGCACTGAGCCTTTTGTGTTCTGACCAAATTGTTCGCCTCTGCCACCCACCAAAGCTCTCCAGTGCCTTGGTTTGGAGAGAGTTGTGCCGCTAACCTAAAGTCTGCCAGTTCAAATCCACCAGCAGCTCTACAGGAAACAGATGGGCAGTTTCCCGTCACGTGATTTACAGCCTCTGAAGACCAGCTGGAGGGGCTCAGCTCAACTGGCAATAAAGTATTTTTAGAACCCACCCCGCAGCCTGCCTTGCCCATCAGTGTCTACCTAGCCCCTCTCTATGCTCCATTTCTGATTCTGTCTTAGGTATCCACATGCTCTGAGCACTGGACAGACATCCGATGTCCAGCCTCCTCGGTGAGTGCATGGGGGGCACTCTGCAAGCACCACTGGGCTTTCACATCCGGCTCTTCTCATGCACACCTTACTGTCTCCCACAGCCTATTTCTCTGCTTCCGTCCTCCAGGCACCTGGGCCACCTGGGGGCCGCCCCCATGCCCATACCTGGTGCTGGGAAGCCCCTGCCTGTCTCTCCACTAACCAAAAAAAATGTATTGCCTTATAGTCAGAACTGACTCAGAGCTGCTCCTGCAGCGAGTTATCAGAGACTATAAATTGCACGGGAAGAGAATGACCATCTTTCTCCCACAGAGAACGGGATTCGAATCACATGCATCTGGATTGGCAGTGCAACTCCTTAACTACTTCCTTCTCACACACAGAGGCCCGCCCCGTTTCAGCCCAGTGCATCCCCGCAGCCACGATGTGGGTCCCAAGAGCATGCCCTCAGTCCACACTCTGCCTGAGGGGTCACATTGGGGCTTTCTCTGCCTCTTGCAGAAGCAGCAGCTGCGTGGTGTTGCTCTTGGTGAGTCACTACTAGTACTTCCGGTGGCCAGCCCTGGGGTGGGTGGGGGTGTCTTGCAGAGAAATACTGGCGTCTTAACCTTCCTGAACCAGGCCAAGTAGCAACTTGCCAAGGGTTAGGCCCAAGGTAGTGCACTGTAGTGTTGTGGGGAGGCCCGCCAGGGCCGGGGGGTACTCAGTTCTGGTATTGTGAAATATGCCACAGGCAACCTTGTGATCCCAGGCGTCCAGGTATCCGCTGCACTGGCACTAACTTCCGGGCATTACCTGTAGGCGCAATGAGCTAGCCCCACCCTCTCCACGCGTAGCCCTGCCCCTAAATTAAGCCCCTCCCTCCCCGTGACCCTACCTTTTCCAGCTCCGTTTGTTCTTTGACCTTGTCTCACATCCCTAACCGTGGAGGCGCCTCTTGAGCAGACATCCCTGCTCAATGGGGCCTGGTCCCATTGGCATACTCAGCAGATGTCAGATGGATTTTGGCTGGAACAGAGAGTACCAGCAGGATGCCTGTTTGTATTTTATCGACTCTGCAAAGGCATTTGACTGTGTGGATCACAACAAATTGTGGCTAGCATCGAGAAAAATGGGAATCCCAGAACACTTGATTGTGTACATGTGAAAGCTGTTACCAGGCGGCTATTGGAGCGGAGGAATATGGTTCAAAATCAAGAAAGGCGTGCGTCAGGGATGTATCCTTTTGCCACACCTTTTCAATCTCTGTGGGACAGATAATTCAGGAGGCTGAACTTTATGAAGAATGTGGCATCAGATTGGACGCCCTCGTGAGCAACCTGTGTTATGCAGATGACACAGCCCTTGCTGAAACTGTGGAGGACTTGAGGCGTTTGCTGCAGAAGGTCAAGGACTACAGTAGTTAATATGGATTGAAGCTCAACATCAGGAAAACAAAGATTCTCACCACTGGGCCAATGACAGCACCATGATTGATGGAGAAAATATTGATGTTGTTAACAACTTCGTCTTGCTCAGAAACACAATCAACACTCTTGGCTCCAACAGTCAGGAATTAAAAGATGAGTTGCTTTGGGAAAATCTCCTGTCAGAGATCTCTCCAGAGTGCTAAAGAGCAACACTGTCATTCTAGAGACTAAGGTGCACCGCATCCAGGCCATGGTCTTCTCAGTTTCTTGCTATGCATCTGAAAATGGAACAATGACTAAGGATGAGAGAAGAATTGATGCCTGTGAGTTGTGGTGCTGGAGAAGAGTCTTGAACATACCATGGACTACCGAGAGAACAAACCGATCTGTACTCGAGAGAATGAAACCAGGTTGCTCTTTGGAGGCAAGGATTTTGAAAGACCAGCTTACGTATTTTGGGCATGTTGTCAGCAGAGACCAGTCCTTGGAGAAAGACATCATGCTCAGAAGGGTAGAGTGTCAGTACAGGAAAGGAAGACCCTGAATGAGATGGATTGATAATAGTGACTGTGCCAATGGGTTCAATTATGTCAGCGATATTGAGGCTCGCTCAGTACAGGGCAAGGTTCAGAGCAGTTATACGTACGGTCGCTATGAGTCGTAGTCGACTGGAGGGCACATAACAAAACCGGACCACAATTTAGGTGACATCGCCCCTCCTGCCTCGTGCCCCCTCCAAAAACCCGTCTCACTCTGGCCCATTGTCCCAGCACCCCCCACCCCCAGAGCTAGACTGTGACAGCGACAATCTAAGGATGATCAAGTTGGTACGGGCTTCAGTGCTCAGGATAATGTTGACTGAAGAGCAGACTAATAGTGCACTTCGCGAGGCGAGGGTACAGCCTGGCGAACTGCTGCTGCGCCTGCTCGAGCAGGAGTGGGCGGGGCCTGCGCGGGTGTCCTCTTGGTAACTGGTTTCCAGCTCTCTGTGCTAGGAGCTCTTAGAGGAGTGCGACTATTTGAACCTGTGCATAGCCCCCCAAAACTCGGTGACGTGAGTGCCAGAGGCATGAATACGGGGGTGTAGGGCCACCAGAATGTGCAGAAAGGGCAGAACCTGCAAGCCTTTGGGCAGTAACCCTAAGGTACCAGAGATCATCTTGTTCTGCCAGGAGTCTTGGATGCTGCTTTCTCCAAGGGGCTCACACTTGGTGTGAAGAAGACGTGTTCTCGTTGCTAAGGAAGGGGAGCCGGAACTGTCCCTCAGACCCTGCCCTCAGTAGGCCTGGGACCCCCAAAACTGGGAAGGGGCAGCCCACTGAAAGGTGGATTAAAGGAGGCAGGGCTGTGAGCAAGAGATTGACCTCAGGGTGAGTGACCACCAGTGACCACTTGGTGGTGGAGTGACCGCGTGGGCCCTGTTTACAGCTGTGTGGGCCTCCATGTGTGCCATGTGAGTGACCAGTGACTCGAGTGGCTGGTCTCAGCTTGCCTGTAGCCACCCAGGTGTCTGTGTTCCCCACCATCTGGGTCTCACCGCACCCCCTTCACAGCCCCAGCAGCTCTGCCAAGCGCAGTTTGGCCAGTGCATGTCCATGGCTACCCCAGGAAGGCACGTCACGGTCACGAGTTCGCAAATGCTTGTGGAGTGAGGAACGTGTGGGGTTCATGTGACCGCACCCATGTGTGACGAGGCCGTGGCCTCATGTATGTGACTGTATGCATGACAGGTATGACATCATTGGTGGAGCAGCCTAGGCAGCCCCCTCACAAAACAACTACAGTGACCGCTTGCCGTCGTGAGCAAAGTGCTGCGTTCTCAGTTCTGTGTTCTGCCAGCTCTGCTGGGACCTGGATTCTCTCCCCACCAGGCTGGAAGCCCAGCTGGTTGGAACAGGAAGTGCCTGAGCTTCGGGGTGAGGAGGCTGGGACATGTCTGAGCCAGAACCAGCCCGGTCTCTCCTGCCATGCCTGCCTGGTGGGGCTGGATTCCAGAGACAGCAAGCAGGAGGAGGGGGGGAGTGCCAGCCCTGCTGAGAGACCATGCCCTTTCTGTTCCCCAGCTAGGCCAGGCCTGGGGGGGGGCTTTGAGGGTGTCTGTCTGTAGTTCTTTGTGTCTATGAGTCTTGAGGCTGTATCCTCAGGACCTGGTGATCTGCACCACCTCCCCCAGTGTGGACCCCAAGGCTTAATTCTCAAGGTTGCTTGAGGGTCCTGGGACTTGCCTCTCAGCTTGGGCATGGTCAGCAATGGGCAGTATCTTCAGAGACTGTTGGGCTCTGGACTGAGGCAAGACCTCACTCCTGGTGTACCCCCCTGCTGCCACACACACACATATACACACACACAGACAGAGACACACCCCCCTAGGGGAGTTGCCCCACTGCTGGGAGCAGCCACACTGGGAACTGCTCTTTGGAGATTTCCAGAAGTCTGGATGTGGTAAACCTGGTTCCCACCCTCTAGGGCCTGCTGGGAGGCCGAGCCTGTGGGGACTTCTCCGGAAGAAGTCAGGGAGCCATAGGCATGACACAGAGTTAGAAACAAAATAATTTATTTCAAAAGCGTACAGTTAAGGCATGAGGGGCAGCTTCTGGGTGGTGTTTCCTACCACCCCCTTCCACTTTCTGTGCTTGTTCCCCTTGTCAAAGAAGCTTGAGGGCAGGATAAGCCCTTCCACTAAAGGAAGGGGCCAGCCCCGCCCAGGGAAGGATCTGGAGGAGGGACCTCATTTGAAATGCTGAAATTGATGGGCTCCCATCCCCATGAGGTTCACATTGCGTGCAGGGAGGGGTACCTTCAGGTAAGCTCACTTGGACCTCAGTTTCAACACTGTGCGATGGTTGGCGGTCTCTTGGGCTGGTGAGAGCTGGACATTCTACCGGGCTTTGGGGGCCATGTATCCACTAAGCCAGGACCCAGCTTCAGAGTGTCCCATTGCCATGGAACCAGAGTCTCTAGTGACCTCGAGGCCGAGAAGGGGTCTTCGTCACTGATACTGTGAGTCCTCTGGACCCGAGTGACCTCTGCTGTTGGTCAAGCCTTGTGCACGGAGGTAGAGGGTCACTGTGATGCAGGTGGTTCTAGCTGTCAGTCAGGGACCTGGGGGGGAATATGGCGGTGGTGGTGGTGACAGTGTTCACCGGTGGCCGTGACAAGCAGCGCAGGCTCCCAGTCTTGAGCGCGCACTGCACAGGCCAGAGCACCAGGCAGAAAAGCACTAACAGCAGCGTGGAGACCAGGGCCATGCGCCTCCAGTCCTTGCACCTTGCCCAGCATCGGGCCAGGCGTCCCCGGCGGCCCAAAGGCTCTGGGGGGATTGGGGGTGGCACTGCTTGAGCAGGCTTGCTCAGGCCCACATCCACGCACACAAAGTCCAGAGAGGAGTTGCTGGAGGGTGGGCGGCAGCAGAGCTTCGTGCCCTCCAGCCACACAGGCTCTTCCCGCCGCAGGTGAGCGGGCATCTTGGACAGGAGCTGGCGGCTGGTGCGCAGTGCAGGAGCCCCGGCAGGGGGCACGGTCGTCGGCTGCCTGCAGAATGGGCAGGGCACAGCCTCACTCCCAGGGCGGCCCATGGGCTGGGCGGCTGCCAACCGTGCCAGGCACTCCAGGCAGAAGACGTGAGTGCAGGAGAGCTCCTTGGGTGTCTTGAAGATGTTGTCATAGCCGGAGAAGCAGATGGAGCACTCTAACGGAGAGGCCACCCTCTCAGAACCTGGGGTGCCAGGGGACCTGGGATTGCTGGCAGAACTGGGGGACCTAGGGTTGCTAGCAGAGCTGGGGGACCTGGGATTGCTGGCAGAACTGGGGGACCTGGGACTGCTGGCAGAGCTGGGGGACCTGGGATTGCTGATGGAACTGGGGGACCTGGGATTGTTTCTGGGCACCCTGTCTGTAGGGCTGCTCCAGCCGGGGGGTGGCACTGCTGTGTGCCACACCTGCTGTTCTGATGACATGGCTCCAAGCTGTGGACAAACAGAGATGCTGTGAGTGATCCCTGGCTGCCTTTCTAAAGAGGCCAGTCTGTTGTTCTTTCTTTCACTATTGCCCACCACCAGCCCCCAGGATCCCAGGGAAGGACACTGCGCAGTCTATAGCACCTCCAGAAAGTTCCTATACCTGCTTCTCATCCCACCTGCCTCAAGGAGGCTCTGAGGTGCGGGCAGTGTAGTTGAGAGGGGTGATGGTGTCCTGGTGCACTGGGTCTCCCTGGTGCCAGGCGGGAGACAGTGGCCCAATACTAGTTACCAGAGCCAGTGCCACTGATGCTCACATGTCACCCTGGGGAAAGTGCAGCTTAGCATGTGGCCGACACAGGCAAGGCCACTGGTGAAGAGGCCATTCTCACTCATGAGACTAGACTCGGGTGGGATGAGAGCAGGGGGCTCCCAGCCTGTCCTGGCAGCGACTGAGCCCTGGTTCCCTGGGAGTAGGTGAGGGGTACGCTGGGCCTGGTGTCAGGACCTAGGCCTGGGGGCTGCTCTCTGGGACTGGGTTAGGGCTGGGCCAAGTCCATCCAGCTGGGGGAGATTAGAGCCTGAGGGGATAGGCAGAGGCTGGTGGGCTTCACAGGGTTTGTGTCCCGTCCTCGCCAGGCTGGTATCCCAGGCCTGGTGCCAGTGAGGGTGCCATGTGTGAATGTGCCTTGGCCGTTCCCTCTGGGCTATCTGGAAGCTTGCGCGTCCACCAAGGAAGGACATGTGGCCCTATAGTCTCCCACTTCCCCCTCAGAGATGGCACTGTCTCCAGGTAGATAGAGTCATTCTAGTCCCAGGGCCTGGTTCTGCTCCACACACACACGCAATCGCCCCCAAGGAAACCAGGGCAGGCCCTGGATGACCACGGCTATCCCAGTGATGAGAAGGTGACTCAGCTGTCACCTCTGGTGGACAGGGTCAGCCAGAGTCTGGGACAACTGGGCCAGGTGACAGTGCCAAATTAGCCACGCTTGCCCACCTGGAGGTCACGTGCCTCCTGGGGTGACCCTCACCAGTCCTGTAGCTGTTACCCTGGGACTTAGGTGGCCAGTAGTGATGACACTAGGTGACAGGCTGGGAAGCCGCAGCCTCACTGTTGCCCACCTGCTGTGACTCAGGATGACACTGCAGTGAGCATGCAAGTGCCCCTGGCATGAGCTCACAGCCATCACGCGACCAGGTACACCTTGGGGCAAGTGCCAGGCAGCCAGGGGCATGCTCATCGCACCTTTCACAAACTCTCCCCAAAGGGGTCCCCTGAGCTCTAGGTACAGGTGGGGGTGAGCAAGGCTGTGCTGCTCTTACCTGGTGGCCGGTGTCGTCAGGATCTGGGCATATTCCTTCTCTGATGGCCACAGTGGGCCTGGCTCTGGAGTGGCCTCGCGTCCACTTGGCAGGAGTTGTCCCGGTGGCTGGTTCCGGCAGGCACAGCCTCTGTACAGCGGTGCGTGAGGCAAGCGGGTGTGTGTGCTCTGGGTGTGGGCTCCCTGGTCTGCGTGCAGGTATATTTATACCCTTGAGTCACCAATGGTCGGGGCGGGGCCTGTGTCTGGAGATTGGTTCCTCTCACTGGCCTTTTGGGCGGGGAGTCCCTGAGGGGCGAGACTTGGGCAGGGCCATGCTGGGAGTGGATGTTTGGCTAGAGTGACACCCTCCACCCTGCTCCCTCACCCCTGTCGTTCCCCATACTCTCCTCTTGCTCTGTCACTGAAGTCCCTGGTTTGGCCAGAGCTCTGTGCTGGGCCTCCCAGATTGGCACGGGGCTGCCATGTCTACCAGGAGCACCCAGTTCTTCCTCTTATTTTCATGCCAGCTTGTTATCCTCACACTCAGCTGCTTGCTAGCCCACTCACACGCATGTATGCCCAAACATACGCACATTAGTGTGTTCACACATACAGGCTGCAACTCCAGGCAGCCTTCTTGGCCTGCACCCTCTAGAGGCAGAAATGCAGCTCTGGAGTCCAGGGAGTGGAGGCTGGGCAGGGGCGCCCAGGGGCTGAAGGGGCAGGACCCACATGGCTCAGAGGAGAAGGGGGTTAGGAAAGGGGTGGGGACACAGAGAGGGTGTAGGGGCTCAGAAAGGGCTGGGGACCTAGAGAGAGAAAGGAAGCTTAGAGAGAGGGTGGGGCCCAGAGAAAAAGATGGGAACTAGAGAAGGGTTGGGGGCCCAGAGAAAGAGGTGGGGATCCAAGTGGGAGCTGGAGGCTCTGAGAGGGAGGTGGGGGCTCTGAGAGAGAAGTGGAGGGCCAGAGAGAGAGGTGGGGACCTAGAGAGGGAGTTGGGAGTTCTGAGAAGGAGGTGGGGGTCCAGAGAGAGAGGTAGGGGCCCAGAGAGGGAGGTGGGTGCCTGGAGAGTGAGGTGGGGGCCTAGAGAGTGAGGTGGGGGCCTAGAGAGTGAGGTGGGGGCCTAGAGAGTGAGGTGGGGGCTCCAAGAGGGAGTTAGGACCCTAGAGAGGGAGGTGGGGGAGGTGGAGGTTCTGAGAAGGAGGTGGGGACCAAGAGGGAGATGGGGGCTCTGTGAGGGTGGTGGGGTCCCAGAGAGGGATTTGGGGGCTCTGTGAGGGCCGTGAAGGCCCAGAGAGGGACGTGGGAGTTCCAAGAATGAAGGCCTCACAGATGGGGGAGGGGAATCAGAGAAGGAAGTTGGGTTCAAATGGGGTGGAGGTTTGGGTAACGATTGGCAGCTTAGAGAAGGGTCTGGCAGGGCGGGGGGGAGCAGAGAAAGTCTTGAAGAAGGAGGTTGAAGTCCACATGGGGGAGTATGGCCTTACAGAACACATGGGTGGCCCAGATAAGGGGTGAGGTCCTAGAGATTGGGGGTTAGGAGCTCCAAGAAGGTCTAGAGGAGGTGGATGGACACTCAGAGAGGGAGGTGAGGCCTCTGAGAGGGGTTTGGGGCCCAGAGACAGGTGTGAAGGCTCAGTGAGGGGTCTGAGGAAGGAAGCCAGGGTGTGGGCATAGCTGAAGGGCTAGCTTGGCTGCCCCCTCCGTGAGTGATGCAGGTTCCTGTTTCCATGGGGAACGTGACTGGGGATCACCTGCCCCTCCAGGAAGCATCTGCGAACACTCTCCCACAAGGTTCCTGGGAATGTATGGACTCTGAGATCACGCTGAGGTTCAGGGGACAGTCAGTGGCCTGGAGGCACTGGTGACTGGGTACGGGTCAGTCCTTGGAATTCGCAGGTGTGGGTGGTGCCAGGCTTCACCGCCTGAGCAGGGGGAGGCCCCCCTATGCTGACTGAGGGAAGGGAGTAGAGGAACTGAGAACTTGGCCCCCACCTCACCTGTTTGCTTCCTGTCCTGCTCCCTGGGTAGCTGGAAGTGACTCGACCGGCTCGGCTGGTATGAGCATGTAGATTTCGTGTGTGATTATGTGTGTATGCTGACAGGTTAGCATGGGTGAGTGTGCAAGAATGCATGTGTCTGAACATGTGAGGAAGAGTGTGTGTGTGTGTGTAAGAGGTGTCTGCATATGTGTAGGTGTGCACAAGTTGTGCCTGTGCATATGTGAGGGGAACCTGGATACCACAAAGGTCCCTGTACCTGCAGGGCCATGTCACTTAGGCTCCTGCACTGGAGGAGAGGTCAAGACCATCTTCACGGCCCCCAGATGTGACTCTTAGAGGACGGGAGGATCTGAGCCCCAAAGCCACCCAGAGCCCTGGCTGCAGATAGAAAGCGCCCTTAGTGGAGGGCAGGATGGTGTCTCTCGGGAGACATGTATTTCTTACAGCCTCTGACCAAGACCGTGCCCTTAGGTGAGAGACAGAACCAGCCTCGTGCTCCTGAGGCAGGCTCTGTACTCTGAGGGCACAAGATGTAGCTCAGGTCATCTGGGGCTCAGGGGGCCCTGGGGTCTCATAGCACTTGCTTGTTGCTAGGTGAGGGCCAGAGGGCAGGGGAGGCTGGGCACTGCCAGACCCCATACAGACAGAATCCCTGGGTTGTTTGCCATGGTGCTGATCAGAGCATCAGGCTGTGGGGGGTCCAGGTGGGACTCTCTGTTGGCCCAGTTGTGGGAGGAATGGGCTGGGGAATGTCCCAGGGGAAGCAGAAGCTGGTTGAGGCTGGTGGGCTCTATGATGGGGCTCCATTAGTATAACCTCTGCCTCAGCCTCTGGTCTCTGGCATCTGACAGCCCAAGGGTGGGTGCCTGGCAGGACTGTTGCTGCTCCTGCCCAGCGCTGGAAGCCAGATCGCCAAAGAGCAGTTTGTCCGAGCCTGCTACCTCCTTGCCTGTAGCCTGACCTCACTGTACTTCCTTCTGGTGTCCGGGGCCCTATGCAGGTTTGGCTCACTGGCTAGAATTCCTGCCTCAACTTTGTCCATCAGACTTCATTCACTCTGCTCTGTCTAGCCACTTCCTGGAACCCACCTCTCCCTGACGTTGCCATAGGTACTTCTCTGTTACTGACCAGCTTGTGCTCTGCAGATGCCCAATAGAATGAATCAGTGAATGAATGAATGAATACACTGTGAGCCTGACCTCCAGCACCCCTTACAACACACTCTCTCCCTGAGAGCAGTACCTTAGAGCCCTCAGTGGCAGCTGACAGAGGGAACAAGAGGCAGCCAGCTGCCCCCACCAGCCTGCTTCCTCCTGAGCTACTGATCCCATGAGGGTCTTGTCTGGATCAGAATCTTTTCTGGAGTCCAGGTGAATGGGTGGGTGAGGGTCTCAGCATGGAGAGAAACCAGAAGAGGGCTCAGAGGCTCTCCTGGCTGGGTGAAGACCACCACTGTGCTGTTACAGGTGTACAGTGCAAAATGGCTTTCCTGGCCACTGAATTTGACTTTGCTATGTGGATAGGTGAGAATAAGTGAGTAGGGTGTATTAGACTACCCACAGGGGGGTTAGTTAGTCTTGATAATCCACGAAGGAATTGGCTAATCTCGCCATTAAATTGAGCAGATCCAGCAGCAATATTGGAGGAAACCTCGCCATCAGCAAAGAAAAAGCAAGAGAATGTATTGCAT